TCCTTTAGATTTTATCTAGGATCAACTCAGTGCCTTGTGTCTAGTTAGGGTAACTTGGTTGTAATATTTTCATATAGGTTTTGCTAATGTTAAACCATTGGTGAGTGTACTATCAGTTCCAAGGGCTTGGCAATCTCTGTTTGTTTTCCACTTTCCTTTGCAACTGGTGTGTGTGAGCTTTGCAGCTTATACCAATTTGGATTGATGGCAGTTGTTGTCATAAATTTTGTTTAAAAACTGTTGAAACACAAACTTCATATTAACACCAATTTTACCAACCACCACTCACATAACAATATTTTTCTCTGATGTATTTTAAGCAAATGTTCCTGTTGGAACCTATTCCATTCACATTTGAAGCTTCCTCAAACCATTACCTATCTTCAAGTGCATCTGTTTTGATCTCTGAAGTTCAAATTGCATCCCAAACTCATATTTAGCATATGCAATCGTGTTTTGAGTTGTGTTTTTTGTTTCAAAAGTTGGTTGATATCATCTCATTCCTCATGAAAATTCAAGCATGTTTGACTTTTATTTCATTGAAAATGATTAAGATTTGAGGATTTGAGAATCAAAAAGTTTTTTGAGTTTTCAACTTGAGTTGCCTTGGACATTTGCCCAGAAAACATGCCTTTTAGGTATATGTTTAATTGGGGTGGCTTGATACATTGGATGTATCGCCACCCCAGTGGTTGTTACCTTGCAGTCAAGTATCTTGTCATGCCATTTGTACTGAGTTCGATCCTCAGCGAGGGCGCGTTTTTGGTTATTTTCATGTTTTTTTTTTTAACATTTTCATTATTTTTCTTTATTCTCCCATTCAATGACCTCACGTATGTAGTGGTAGAGTTGACAATGTTTTGAGTCCATGATCTCAAGGTCTTGGGTTCAAGCCTTGAATGAGACATTTCTCTCTTTTTAATTACCAATTTATTTGATTTTTATTTAAATTTCAAATTAACATAACTTCCTCAATTTTAATCATTTTTAAATGTTTCTTTTTGCTAAGTTCTTGTGTTGAAACATATTTTCATATAATGCTTAAAAAATTCTAAAAATCATATTTTAGAAACACTTTACATTGTGAGAAAGTTGTAATCCATTTTTGGGTTTTCACCCTCCTATCTTTCATTCTTCATTTTAAAAACTTTGATTTTCTTTTCATTAAGTTTAACTTGAAATTGATCTAAGCTTGGCTTGTTAGCTCCCTTGTGTACTTGAGTTTGAACTTCAACCTTTGCTTGTAAGCATCTAAGTGATTCATTTTTTTAAAACTTTTGAGTTCCTCATGAAGTATTAAACTTCTTACCTGTATTGTTGTAACATTGTTTGATTGTCTATACTTGTTTGTCATCAAATGTATGATATTTTCTTATGTGGTTACATATGACATCCTTTGACCTATAACATGCTCACCTCAACTTGTAACTTGTTTTCATTTATTTATTGGTTGTTACTCTCATCTTTGTTAAGATATACTTTTATCTTTGTTAAGATATACCTTCATCTTTGTTAAGATATCTCTTCATGGTTGTTACCTCATCTTTGTTAAGATTTGTCATTTGTTTTCTCACCTCTCATATTGAGTCTTGAAAGAACCGACCTTTAGACATTGTAATGTCTTTGTGTATACATTGGTGGTAACCATTTGTTTTATTCATAATCTTTGCTTGATATTTTTATATGCTTGCATGTTCTTGGTTGTAACCATACTTCTTGTATTCATCATGTTTGAATGTTTATGCTTTGTTAAGTTATTTCCCCAAGTGATGGAATTCTTTAGTTCTCATCCAAGATACCTCATCTTTTTTACTTCCAAAGGAAAGTCTCTCTATTGACCCTTGGGTCATAGATAGCTCATTGCTCCCTCTTGACTTTGTTAAGTCATCTTGAACCTTAGTTAAGTTAGAACCCTAACCATTAGACTTTTACCTTAAGTCTAAAAGACCTACCCCTTGTTAGGAGTATCTTTCAACTAGAATTTTAGGATAGAGTTTGTCAACTCTATGTAAGAATCATAATGATGATTGCTTACCTGCCCTTTTGACTTTTGTTAAAGTCATTCCTTAGTCGTGTCCAAACTACGGACGCTCTAATTTCTCATTTGTTAATGGGAATACGTAGGCACAAGATGCGATATCTTGACGAACAACCCCCCTCCTTCCTTTTGGTTAGAACCAATTGATCTTACAACGTAGATTTAGATAGAGTTTGTTAACTCTATGTGAGAATCATGGTAATGATTTCTTACTCCCCATTCTTGAGTGTTTAACTTAGATTAGAGAGTTTTGTTAAACTCTACACAAGCATTGTTATGTTTGTTCCCCTTTGAACCTTGATCATAATCAAGTGTTCATCTATCCCTAGTGAGGTGAACTAAGATTGCTCTAATTCTATCCTAGTTAGGATACGTAGGAAAAGGATGAGATATCTTTGCGAGCAAATTTAGAAACTATTCTTAGGTCCTTACCTACACCTTTTTACCTATCCAACTTTACCTTAGACCCAATCCCAAACCATAGCAAACATTTAGCAAGTATAGCATACAAACATACAAAAGATTCCTGTAGAGTACTACAAATATTTAGGATGTGAAATACCTACCCTAGGCATAACCAACCCCCGATCCCCAATCTCTTAGCATTGTTGTTACATCGCGCAAAAGGTCTTTCTTTCTTTAACCTTTCCTTTGGATAAATCAAATTCCGGTTGTGAATTTAAAGAATTAAGATTCAAGTTAATCAATAGCTTGGTATCACGATTCTCACTGTAACAGGTGTCATCCGTGAACTTCACTTTGTTTTCCAAGGCACAATTGATTTTAACAAACCAATTCTTCGTCCTCGTCATATGATTAGAACAACCCGAGTCTAAGTATCATTCCTCGCTGCATTGAACTCCTTTCATAGTCATCATAGTGTTTTCTTCAGCATGTAACCGGTTAAGTGTATCATATAATCGGCTACTGCTCAATTTTGCAGAGTTCCTTGAATTGTTGTTGTTGTTGTCTCGTAGCTTGCTACTGCTGGATTCTTCTTTCGTGATCATGACCAATAGTGTATTCTGTTCATCAAACTCTTGTCTTGAAACTTTAAGTTTATCTCCTTGAGGTTCCTTCTTATTCGCATTGCACTATCTTGCAAAATGGTCGAACCTTTGACACTTAAAGCATTGCTCTTTGCTTTTGTCAAACCTCTTCTTTTCAGCTCTAAAGTTGTCATGACCACTATTTTTGGTTCAGCTGCTCTCACCCCTTTGACAAGTCGAATTCTTGAAATTTTGGGTCTCTCTTTTATAAAAATTCTGAAAATCTTGTTTGCTCTTCATGAACCATTTTCTTTTTTATCACTTCAAAAACATCATGGTATCCAAAGAACACCTTCATTTTCTTACACCATTTTTCATAACTCTTCACATCAAGGATAAGTAGGTTTGCAGAGATTCCTTCATTGAAAAATAATTTATGTTGCGCACAAGATTTTTATGGATCAGAAGCAGACTCTTGATACCAAATGTTAGAACTTTGAACCACAAGATTAGTGAACAATGTGGAGAAAATTGAAATGTGGAGAGTGAAAGAGGAGAATTGAGAGAGAGAGAGAGAGAGAGAGAGAGAGAGAGAGAGAGAGAGAGAGAGAGAGAGAATTGAGGGTGGGAAGTGATTATTGCATTATCTTAGGATGAGAATGCATCCTATACATTTATACAAAAGTTACATTATGATTGGAATCCAAAACAAACAAAAGAAATAACATAAAAGTATTAAACTCGGACTCGTAACCGACTACACCATTTGATTAATTAGTTACAACTGACATGAATTAAAATCTCATTCAGTGATAACCAATTAATGGCACAAGTTAATCGATTATTGCTGCGAAATCTTCACTTCTTACTTTTTGGAAGTGCTACTGAATTTGCTGTAACTAGTTGCATTCCGTATTAATCGGTTACAACACTTAAATTACCAACATAACTTTCAACAATAACATTATGTTAATCGGTTACAACACTTGAATTATCAACATAACTTTCAACTATAAAATTTGAAGAGTGAGTTGGAGATTTTTCAACGAAGTCTTTACATTTAGGCTCATTCAATAAGTTAGAAATGATTGACATACATTATACCTTAAGGGGAATGTTAATTGTGATGAAAAGATTATTGAGAACAATGCAAGTTAGTTAGTTTTGGGATTGTAACTTTCATAACATAATTTTAACTAACTTGAAAGTCAGTTAGAAAGCTCTTATATGACTTCTAACTTGGCTTACTTGGTGTATAAGTTAGAGCACATAAGCTGTAAAGTTTAGATTGTGAGTAATACAAAAAGTATAATCTAGCTTCCTTATTTCAATCATGGTGTTTCCACTGTATTCTTTCCATGCTTAATTACTAGCAACTATCTTGCAACAACTTATCTTTAAAGAAAAACCACAAGATTATATATTAATTTATGTTGAAATGCTAAAAAATTTTGCTTCTTTTGGCTAAGATTTTAATTACCTAGAATTTACATATGAAAATTACAAGTATTTAAATATTTTCATTAAGTCAATTAGATAAACAGAAACATCTAGAACATATTTCAATGAATTAACAATAACTGGATCATCATTATTCACATCATGCCATTGAAGTTATGCTTCTCAACGAACTTGACAAACAAACATAACAATTCATAATATATCCCTGAGAATACAAGAGAATAACTTGGCAAACAAGCTTGCCCAATTATTAGTTTAATGAAACATCTTAACAGATCTACACAAATTAATGTTTGAACAAATTGCACATTAACAACAACATAAATTAAGAACAATAATTTTAAAAAATTGGTAGTAACACGCCCTTCAACCGATATCATAGCAAAATGTTGTTACGAAAAGTGTTAGAGAACGTGTTGCTAACAATTCTTTAAAAAACAAACAAGTCTCTTGTACGAGAAACAATTATGATAATGCACATACATACTTATTCAACAACGACATAAAACCTCTTAGACGCATTGAAAATCAGAAGGAACGGTTTTCTGACAAGCACTAAGGATCAAACTGAGCGCGACAGGTACATTCAAGTTGATTCCAAGCACATTGGCCTTAAGTGCGGTACAAAGGCAAAGTGCAGCCTCCAAATCAGCCAAACCTTTGATCAATGCGCAACAACTACTACCCGAAGGAGGGTCTCCGATAACAATATTAACCAACCCTAAGAGGTCAGCACAAACCCCTAGCTTTAACGTGTCCTTGGGGCAGGAACTTTGGGGTGACGGTGGAGAAGCAGCGGGGGAAGGTGTTGGATTTGGTGATGGTGGACAACCATTAGCATTAATGAGTGTTGAATAAGAAAGAAGAGAAAGCACTAAAACTATGGAAGAGAATTTGTTGCAAGCCATGACTATGTAGTTTACAAACTAAATGTGTTGATTGAGGTTGAATGCATGAACCTTTTTATAGGCAAAAAAATTTTTTTAAGTGGATGTTAGAAACATAATTGAGTGGAAGTGAATGATTAGTGATAATGTTAGTACTTTTCTGTAAGTTTATGAAAAATTTGGGTTGTACAATATTTTGGCTGATTATGGTACGTGTCTTTTTTTCAATAGTTATTATCTCTATGATGTGATGGTGATAAACTCAAAAGGAGGAAGGGGAGTAGATTTGTTTTCTACCACACTAAATTAAGGTTCTCATTTCATGGGAAGTGATAATATTTTGAAGGCTATGATGTGAGAGAATGTCCAACAGTCACAATTTTACGTACTAGATTGTCTGTTCTTTACATGAAAGGTGCAGCTTTGGCTTATGTGCATGTGCAAGAAAGGTGAAAAATTGAAAGAGTCTCAAGTTATTTCATTTCATCCTCTAGTCCCATGTTTCCTAAGAATGACCTAACTAAGACTGCACACACCAATAACATCATTTCACATGCATTTACATAGCTTCTATGAATAAACGAACTCTCAAATTCAATAAATATAATTGGTCATCTCAGTTATAGTCCAATATATCAAATTAACACATCGCATATGACATCTTTTCCTTATTTAAAGAGTGCTTAATGCATAGAGTACAGGTTGATGCAAAGTGTTGCTCATCCCTCCTTCTATGTGTTTTAGGGATTATGTATTATTTCTAAAAAATAATTCAAAAAGGCATGGTATGTGGTCTTCGAATGTTAGAGAAATAGTTTAGAGAGAGTTAACAGTGTTAACTGCTCTGTTAGCTGTTAAGTTGTTAACAGTTAGACTTAATTGTTTATGTTACATCACTGATATATAAATCAGTGTTAGCATTATTCTGTTTCTAATGCAATACATTACATTCTTACATTGTAAAACTTTACTTTTGTATCACTTTTCTGCAACTGCACAAAGTGCAAGTATGAACTGAGTTCATAGCTTTAATATGGTATCATTTGTGAAATCGATTCTCCTCTCTTCCTCTTCCATTCATCTCTGATTTGTCTTCTTTAACAGCTCACGGTGTCTTGATTCAACAATGACGGAGTCTGAGAATCAAGAATCGGCTAACAAGGAAAACACTCAAGAAATTTCAACTTTGATCACAACCACCAAAACTGCAAATTCGTTTGGGCCGAAACTTTCAATCAAGGTTGTGAGATGTTGGATCGCACTCTAGTATAGTCGAAGTCTGTTCGCGAGTAATGCGTGTTGTAGTCGAAGTTTGTTCTAACATGCATTAGTCAATATTGTTAGGGTTGTTAGCATGGTGAATTGGGCCTTACTTGTAAACCCAATTGTTTAAGTTAACTTGTAATGGGTAATTTCTTAAAAAGTCCATTAGGTTAGTGTGCTATTTTTCTTATAAATAGGATACTAGTTTCTCAATCTTAAGATAAGAAAAAATAGGAAGATAAAATCCTAATTTCAAGAGAGAGAGGTTATTTTGTTATTTTTGTATACTTGTAATCTTGTTTTAAGAGAAAGGAAAGAATAGCAGTTTAATAACCAATCCTTGTTGTTTTCTTCTTTATTAACCCTAACTCTTGTGTGTTTCTTGATCAATAAGAAATTGTTTATACTTAGTTTTAAGGTATCCAATTCACAACAAATTGGTGCGGTGAGCGTGGAGAAGATGCCTTCAACAAAGTATGAGATTGAAAAGTTCATCGGAGTGAACGACTTCAGTTTGTGGCGCTTGAAGATGAAAGCCCTATTGGTTCAGCAGGGTTGTTTGGAAGCATTGAAGGGTGAGGCAGCCATGGACGTTGCCTTAACGGCAAAAGAAAAGACGGGAATGATCGAGAAATCCCACAGCGCAATATTGTTGAGCCTTGGTGATAAGGTTCTTCGACAGGTATCAAAGGAGACTACAACATCGGGATTTTGGGTGAAACTTGAAAGTTTGTACATGACCAAATCTATGGTGAATCGACTCTACCTGAAGCAAGATTTATATTCATTCAAGATGAGTGAAGACAAAGTGTTGGCTGAGCAGCTGGATATGTTCAACAAGCTGATTCTTGATCTTGAAAATATTGATGTGAAGATCGATGATGAAGATCAAGCATTGTTGTTGTTGTGTGCTTTGCCCAGAACACATGCTCACTTCAAACAAACTCTCTTGTATGGAAGGGAGTCCTAGACCTTTGAATAAGTTCAATCAGCCTTGTATTCTAAGGACTTGAACGAATGAAAGGAGCATAAACCTTCGAAGAGGGGCGAAGGTTTGGCCGTTAAGGGAAAATTCTTACGAAAGGATGATAAGTTCGACAATAAGAAAGGTAAAAGTCAATAGAAGTCTTATAGTGGCGAAACATCTAGTATTCGATGTTATCACTGTAAGAAGGAGGATCACATAAGAAAGGTGTGCCCTGAACGCTTGAAAGATCATGGAGGTAATGGCAATGCAGTCATTGTTCAAGATAACTTCGACTCATCTGATGTTCTTGTGGTTTCAAGTGGCGACTCAAGAAAAGAGTGGATTATGGATTCAGGTTGCACTTGGCACATGACTCCAACAGAGAATTGTTCGAGGAGCTATGTGATTAAGATGGTGGATCTGTGCTGCTGGGAAACAACAAATCTTGCAAAATTGCAGGTATTGGATCTGTGAGATTCAAGCTCCATGATGAGTCAATAAGGTTATTGACTGAAGTCAGGTACGTACCTGACTTAAAGAGAAATTTGATTTCTCTTGGTGAATTCGACAGAAAAGGATATGTTTTTCAAGGAGAGAAAAGTATCCTAAGATTTATGAAGAGGTCGAAGGAAGTCTTGAGAGGTGTGAAGAAACAAGACTTGTATACCCTTGAGGCTGAAGTTGTAAGTGGTTCGACAAATGTTGCATCCACGAAACCTATGTCGAAGACAAAATTAGGGCACATGAGATTGAGCCATGTCAGCGAAAGAGGCCTGGTCGAATTAGGGAAGCAGAACCTGCTAGGAGGTGACAAAGTTGAAAAGTTGGAATTTTGTGAATCTTGTGTACTTGGTAAATCCTGTAGGGCGAAGTTTAACAAAGGCAAGCAAAGAACACATGGATCCCTGGATTACATTCATGCTGATCTTTGGGAGCATGCAAGGAATCCTTCACACTCAGGTGCAAGGTATTTTCTATCCATCGTTGATGACTATTCCAAAAAGCTATGGGTATTCATTAAGAAGACAAAGGTTGAAACTTTTGTGAATTTCAAATGATGGAAGATTCTGGTCAAAACTCAAACTGGCAGAAAGGTTAAGAGGTTGAGAACCGACAATGGCCTTGACTTCTGCAACGAAGCGTTCAACGGTTACTCTGTTGAGTCTGGGATTGCAAGGCATAAGACTGTAGCAGGTACTCCTAAACAAAATGGCTTAGCTGAGAGATTCAATCGAACAATCCTTGAAAGGGTTATATGCATGTTGGTTAGTGCTGGATTGAAGAAGGCGTTTTGGGCGTAAGCTGTTTCAACAACAGCTTACCTGATAAATGGATGCCCCTCGATTGCCTTGGGAATGAAAACACCTGAAGAAGTTTGGTCGGGACATCCACCTAGTCTCGACAGACTAAGAGTATTCAGCTGTGTGGCCTATGCTCATATTAGGATAACTTGAAGGAGTCAAAGCTTATAGGCTATGGTGCCTAGAGCCAGGTCACAAGAGGTGTGTCACCAGTCGAGATGTAGTTTTCAATGAAGCAAAGATGTCTTTCAAGAAAACTGATGATGCTGACGAAGAGCTGGAACAGGGAGAGATTCCTGTTGAGGTGGAGCATGTTGATACTGAATTGCTTACCCCAGATGAAGCCGAAGACGATGCAAAAGATGTTTTCAAAGATGAGGAGACTGATAATGACTACCTGCTAGCATGAGACATGTCGAGGAAAGTCATCAAGCCACCTCAGAGACTTAGGTATGCAGATCTTATATATTATGCCTTAATTTCTGCTAGTGAGGTTCTAGATGAAGAACCTAGAGACTATAAGGAAGTTATGAGGAGTCGAAAGAAGACTGAATGGCTGAAGGCCATTGATGATGAGATGAAATCTCTTCACTATAACAATACCTGGGAACTGATCAAGAAAACTGTTGGAGCCAGGTTAGTCAGCTGCAAATAGATTTTCAAAGTTAAGGAAGGAATCGAAGGAGTGACGTAGAATAGATACAAGGCAAGATTGGTTGCTAGGGGTTTCACTCAGAAAGAAGGTATCGACTTCAATGATGTGTTCTCTCCTGTTGTGAAGCACATATCCATTCGAATGTTGCTTCCCATGGTGGCCCAGTTCGACCTTGAACTGGAACAGATGGATGTGAAGACTGCGTTCTTGTATGGTGATCTAGATGAAACAATCCTGATGAGGCAACCTGAAGGGTATGTCGAAAGAGGGAAGGAAGATTATGTGTGCAAACTGAATAGATCTTTATATGGAATGAAACAATCTCCTCGACAGTGGAATAGGAGATTCGACAAGTTCATGGCACACATAAGTTTCATCAGAAGTCGGTTCGACCACTGTGTTTACTGGCAAGCACTGAAGTGAATTTTGAGGTACATAAATGGATCTCTGAATAGAGTCTTAATTTATGGTTGAGCCTTAGGTGAAGATAGTAAAGTAGCAATCGAAGGATATGTCGACTTTGATTATGCAGGTTGTATGGATTCCAGAATATCTATCTCTGGATATGTGTTCACTATGTTTGGGACAGCAATCAGTTGGAAAGCAACACTTTAGTCGGTTGTTGCCTTATCAACCACTGAAGTGAGGTATATTGCCCTAACTGAAGCTGTGAAGAAAGCATTATGGCTTGAAGGTTTTGCAAAGGAGCTAAAACTTCAAGGTCGAGTTATCATTGTTAAATGTGATAGTCAAAGTGCAATACACCTGTCGAAGAATTCAGCCTATCATGAGCGAACCAAACACATTGATGTGAGGCTGCATTTCATCAAAGGGG